GTGAAGCATCATTTCGAGGTTATTCATATTTCAATCCGTGAGAAGGCTTTTCATATTATCTTCACTTTGCACAAACATTTCTTTTTCAGAAGTAATTAGATTAGATGGACGTCTTATTTTCGATTCCGGTTTATATAATGAGCGAGCACGCAAAGTCAAGACCCAGAGACAACAGCATGGCCGCTCATTGTCAAGGCAGATTCTTGATCGTGAACAGAGTTGAAGCTTCCTTTGAAGATATCGTTATGACCCTTAGAAATCCTTCCTGCATTCTTGTTTTGTCTTGGCTGGGTTATTGGCAGGTTGTTACCTTGATCGCAACAAAGGTGTCTCATCACTACCACAAAAAGAATTAATCCAACAAGACAACCAATGATTATGACGGCACTAACTATTACAGCTCGTTCGGAGTCTTTTTTGCTTTCCGTAGTCAAGGCATAAGACGTTGAAAAATGACGAGTAGGCCCCGAAATGGATGGACTTAAGTCTCCAACTTCCATTGTCTGGTTGGCGTTTGTTTTTAAAATGCTAAAAGCTATCATATTAAGACAAAAGAATCGAATTCCTGTATGAAATAGCATCATCATTGGAACTTGGATCTTTTAGAAGGTTCCAGAATCTGAAAAAGTCCCTAAAACGCGTCCATTGAGTGAGCTTTTTATGTTGCTAACAATGTATCCATTTTTTTCGAAATTCCGTGATTTTTGGAAATCACAAGCGACGTATATAAATCTCTTCCTATTTGTTTCAATTTGAGTATTGTTTTTCTCTTTGATGTTTCTCGGTGATGTAAAAAAGCCAACAATGATAACAGGAAAGTCTGCCGTGAATTATTTGCCTTTTAAAGCCACGAAAACACGTAATCCGACCGACCTAGTGGGCACACACGAACATTATCAGCATAACTACTTCAATCCGTGAGTTAATGCACGAGCTAGAAGCACTTGAACAAATTGAGTGTACAACAAGAATGCGCTCGTATTGGTCCATACGTATCGTAAATACAAATCATTTATCAATTTTCATCTCATGGATTCAGGATTTAGGTTCCAACAACATGCTTTATCGATTAATTAGGAAAACATCGTTGTTTCATACTGCCTGGGCTTGTGTTGATTTTATTTTAATTACCTTTAAGAGAAAACAGCTGTTCAGAAAGAAGAAATCTTAAGTTGCTTTTGAAAAGCTCGTCTTTGGTGGCGCCATTGTTGAAAGACGTTTTTTAGTTGAAGTAGTTGTGGAGTCGCAAGTTGGCTTATAACGTCCTTTCTTTCTTTCTTTCTTTCTTTCTTTCTTTCTTTCTT